GGCAAGCGGCTTCAAACAATCCGTGCTGTGTCTGCATATTGATTCGACGATCCGTCACAACTGCAGGGCTAAAGCTTGCGCTGCAGAACTGACTGCGCCCTCTTCTCTGTGTGTGACTTGTGTGTGTGACTTGTGTGTGTGTGTGTTGTGTGTTGTGTGTTGTGTGTTGTGTGTTGTGTGTTGTGTGTTGTGTGTTGTGTGTTGTGTGTGTGTTGTATGTGTGTGTGTGTTGTTTGTGTGTTGTGTGTTGTGTGTTGTGTGTGTGTGTGTTGTGTGTTGGTTGTGTGTGTGTGCGTGCGTGCGTGCGTGCGTGCGTGCGTGCGTGCGTGTGCGTGTGTGTGTGTGCCGGAATGGCGCCCCCGCAGTGGACCAGCGGGGGCGCACCGCAGGGCCCGCTCCTGGTCCCGGCCCGTGGACGGGGGGCAGGGAGCACCTCGAGTGCCCTCTCTCCTGGCCCCTGTGGGCCCAAAGATCCGACGCCCGAGAGACCTTGGAGCGGGTGTTCCCCTAGCCTGCTTCGGCCTCCGGGGGCATTCGCTGGGCCTCGGGGCCGTCAGCAACGACCTGGGGCGAAAAGCTGGCCCTGCTGAGAGGTCGAAGCCTCCTGTGCTGCTGGCACCCTGGGTGGGGCTGGGTCAAATCTGCGTGCAGCAAGGCGTGACCGTCGTTCGTGTTCGAGGTCGTCGTAGCTTTGCCTAGGTATTGATTGCCCTTGCTGTGTAACTTTAGTCGTGCTACTTATAGATAATTCCACACTTAGCCGAGCGGGGTGAGTTACCTCGTTTTCCTCCTCCTCCTCCACCTCCTCCTCCGCTTCCTCTTCCAGCTCTTCCTCCTCCACTTCCTCCACTTCCCCCTCCTCCTGACCCTCACACTCCACCTCGTCCTCCTCCTCCTCCTCCTCCTCCTCCTCCTCCGCCTCCGCCTCCTCCTCCTCCTCCGCCCTCCTCACTCCTCCTCCTCCTCCTCATCCTCCTCCAATTCCTCATCCAGGCTCCCCCTCTTGAGCGATCGGTTCGGGGCTCCTCCACCTCTTCCTGTTCCAGGCTCCTGCTGAAGTTTCGGATATCCTCGCAGAATTCGGAGCGGAAGAGGGAGGAAAAGAAGAGGCATAAGAAGAAACAGCATTAGAAGGCCAATGGTGAGGGTCTGAGAAATAAGAATGGAAATCATAATTGAAAAAAAGGAGAGGAATGTTACGAATCATAGCAATCAGAAAATGATAATAACCTGGGAAATATAGACAGGCCAAAGAGGTGAAGGAGTCAGCGCGCGGCGCGGAGCCCTTACAGCGCCTCCTCCCTCACCTCAGCTCAAGCTGCATACTTTGACTTGCCCATAACTAATTTATAGTTGTCGCTGAAGTGATGTACGACGGATGCCTACTTACCATCATAAGTAACATGTAGTTAGCCATAGTCGCTGGGCTAAGTAGCTAAGGTACGTGAGATGCTTATAGCTATGGCGCAAGTAACATAAGACGTTTCGAGGCCCTTCGGAAGGTCCAGGAGGCTTCAAACATGGTCCCCAGACGCCCCCGAGCAGCCTCTGACGAGACCTCCAGAGGCATCCATTAGAACTTTGTCACACAGCCAGATCACGGTGGCGGGAAGACCCGAAGGCCACACCACCACCACCACCACCAGCCACTTCACCACCACCACCAACCACCAACACAACCACCACCACCACCACAACCACCACCACCACCACAACCACCACCATCACCACAAACCACTACACCACCACCACAACCACCAAAAACGCCACCACCACCACCAGAAACCACCACAACCCACCACAGCCACCACCACACGCACCACCACCACCACACCACCACTACCACCATCACCAACGCAACCACCACCACCAACAACAACACCCAACACCACAACCACCACAAACCACCACACCACCACCACCACCACCACCACAACAACAACAACAACCACCACCCACCACCCACCACCACCACAAGCACCACCACCAGCAGCAGGGCCACCAGCACCATCACCACAGCCCACCACCACCACCACCACGGCAAACCACCACGCAACCGCCACCACCACAACCACCACCACCAGCACAACCACCACAACCCACCACCACATCAAACCAACACACAATCACGACCACCACCACAGCCACCACCACCACCATCACCACGACCACAACAACCCACCACCACTACCACAACAACCACCATCACTACCACCACCACCACAAACCACCACACCACCACAAGCACCACGACCGCCACAACCACCGCCACCACCACCACCACAAACCACCAACACCACCACCACAAACCACCAACACCACCACCACAAACCACCACACCACCACCACCACAACCACCACCGCCGCAAACCACCACACCAGCACCACCACCACCACCGCCACAACCACCACCTCACCACCAGAACAACCTGCCACTGCCACCAACACCATCACAAACCACCACACCACAACCACCACCGCCACTACAACCACCACCACCACCACCATCACCTTCACAACCCATCACCACCACCGCCACCACCGTCACCACGAAGAGACGCCCAAGAGGCGCCCAGGAGGCTTCACAAATGCCCTTCGGAGGCCCCCGAGAGCCCTCCGACGAGAACCCAGGAGGCATCCATTAGGACTCTGACCCAAAACCAAGGCATGGTGGCGGTGCGTCGTCGTCGTCGTCATCGTCGTCGCCGTCGTCCTCGTCGACGCTCCCCGCCGCCGCCTCCGCCAGCCGCCGCAGGCGCTGGTCCAGAAAAGGAAAGCGTCTCTTCATCGACGCTCCCCGCCGCCAGCCGCCAGCCGCCGCCGACGCCGGCGCCGGCCCGAGGAGAGGGAGAGAGGAGAGGGGGGGGGTTCGAACACCCCCCCATCCTGTCACGGCAGAGGGGGGTTCGAACCCCCCCCCCCGCTTCAATCCAGGGGGGGAGGGGTGGGGGTCCAGTTCCAACCCCCCCCCTCCAAGCGCCCACAGGGCGCGCTCTTTCGGATCTCCCTGTGTCGAAGGGCATGCTGGGGGACCCCCTCCTGATCCCCCCCCTGCGGGCGGGGATGGCGCATTCCTCTTGTGGACGAGGGCGGTTACATTTCGAGGGGTACATGCTGGAGAGATGCCCCCCCGCTCCCAGCATATCGCTTTCTGTTCCTCCTCAACTTCCCTCCTCCTTGCGTTCGGCGCGAAGGGTTGACTAATTGTTGGGTAGCGGACGCTCAATCAAAATGCAACGTTCGAAAACACGCCGCGAGCTGAAGGAATGCTCGCGCTGGATGACTTGACGGCACGCGCTCGACCATCGTCCGTAGAAGCGCACGTTGCAAAACACGCCACAGGCTAGATGGCTCAAGCTCGTTACACATGCAGCGCTGGATAGCGAGCTGTGCTTTCGGCGTGAGTTTGATGGCAAGCGTTCGATTGAAATGCTGCGCCAGAGTGCACGTCATGGGATGCTGGACAGTTCGGATTCAAAAGCAACGCTGCCGGACCTCAGTGCGTGTTCCCGCGAACTGCTGGATTGCTCGGGTCGATACGGATGCTGCGCTGGAAACCGCACTCGTTGGGGGTTGTAAGAATATTACACCTGAGAAAACCCAATCAGCGGATGATTTGAAAATTGATAATATGGATCTTGAGATCAATTGTGAGATCGATAATGAGATCAATAGTGGAATCGATGGTGAGCACGATTGTAAGGTCGATCGTGAGACCGAGAATGAAATTGATTCAATGAGATCGATAATGAGATCGATCGCGAGATCGCTCATGCGATCTCTAGTGAGATCGCTTGTGAGATTGATAGCGAGATCGATTGTGAGATCGATGGTGAGATCAATCGAGAAATCGGTAGTGAGATCGATGGTGAGACCGATCGATAAGAAAACCGACCAAGAACCCGGGAACCCGGAACCAAGAACCTGGGAACCCAGAACCCGGGAACCCCGGAACCCAGGAACCCACCAACATCGGCGGGGAACTTTCGCCACATCCTTCAACTTCCGCTAGGACCCCTTCAGTGCAAGCGGGAGTGGAGTGGCAAGGGTGGGGTCAGGGCCTCCCTGGGGACGCGTTCGGCCGCCGAAGGCGGGCGGCACTGCATCGGCGCCGCCCTGGGGCTCCGATGCACAGGCGGTGCGGCGTGAGAGCCTCAGGATCGAAGCGGCCGCGAAACTCCGAGTTCAGCTGGTTCACCAGCATCTCCCGCGTGTACTTGTTCGGGATGTTGCGGAGCATGACCGTGGTGTCCGTCGGCTGGAGGCCGCTGCCAGCGACGTCGGAAGACGAAACGTCGGCACGGACATAAACTTGCGGGGGCCCGCGCGGATTGCTCAGACCTGCGCTGACCCCCCCCCCTGGCGCGCGCGGACTGCGCCAGAAGCAGCCCCAAAGGCGCCGCCAATGGGGGGGCGGCGCGGGCCCAAGAAATCCGCGCGGAGCTTTTGAGTAGGGAACAGAAAACCACCCTCATCATGAGCACGCCGACAACAGAAGCCAGTTGGCCAACGCACGCAACAAGAAAACATCGAGCTCGGCAGGGCTATGTCGTAAACGCCCACGGCCCGCCAGCAACCGCCAAGTATGTCGGTCGGGGTGCTTTTGTAGCGGGCGAAGAACGGTATGGAATAACTGTTCCGTCGGCGGGGACGCCCGACCCTCGGCGGCTGGAAATTTTTCACCCTGCGTGGCACCGTCGGGGTCCAACCTCTACGGCCGCCCAGGGGGGCAGGCCTCCCCGACGGCGGAACACTGTGCTTTTCATACCGCCATTCGCCCGCTAAGATTTCTCTTCGTGGATGCCACGACAACGCACACCCTAACAGTCCTATCATTGAATATAAGATGTGTGTAAACTGTCGGGGGAGGTTCTTAACCATGTTTCAAACCTGTGCTTTTACATGTGTAAGCCATGTCTTACACATGTTCTGGACACCTGGAAATGCTTCGGCAACGTGCCTCCTCTCCACCGATCGTCCTCCACAACCCTGCCAAGAGTTTATGCGCACGCCGCTGTTTCGCTCCCCGAGATGTGCCCGCCGCCCTCCGCGGCCTCGCCGCGGGCGCCGCCGCCGCCCTTCGCGGCGGCCGGCGCCCCGTCGAGGCGGCCGCCCGCGCCGCCCCGCGGCGCCGGCTCCTCGCCGCCTGCGGCCTGCGGCTGCCTGCGGCCGCCCCGCCCGCCCTTGCGGCCCCATGCCGCCGCCGCCTCGGCGCGGCCCTCGCCCCAGCCGGCGCCCTCGGGCGCCGCGGGCTCCTGGGCCGCCGGAGGCCGGCAAGGAGGCCACCGCCCGCGGGCCGCCGAGGGCCGCCGCCGAGGGCCGCCGCCGAGGGCAACCACCGAGGGCCGCCGAGGGGCCGCCGAGGGCCGCCGAGGGCCGCCGAGGGCCACCGAGGGCCGCCGAGGGCCACCGAAGGCCGCCGCCGCGGAGCGCCGAAGGCCACCGAGGGCCGCCGAGGGCCTCTGCCGCGGAGCTCTGCGCGGCGGCGTCCGCCTGCCAGGCCTCGCCGGCCGCGGGGCCCTCCGCCGCGGAGCCCTGCTCCGCGAGGGGCCACGGCGCCGAGTTGCCACCCTCCATCTGCGCGCCGCCCTCGGGGGCGGCCTCTGTGTGCGCGGCGACCTCGAACTGCGGGCCGTGGTCCTCCGTCGGGGCCTCCAGCGGCTGGCCGAGGTGGTCGACCCCGCACGCGTCGGCCTCGCAGGCGCCCTGGGGAACCATCACCATCCCCTCGGCGGGCATATACCAGCCGCCCGAGCAGAGGAACTCCCCGGTGCTGGCTGGCGGCGCGCACGAGGGGGTGGCGCGCGGGACCCAGGCACGATCGCGTTGCGAAGAGCTCTCGGCGGAAACTGCTTGCACTGTCTCGGCCACCAGGGGGCCTCGCCGGGCCCCGGGACCGTCAGAGCACGACTCGGAATGAGAAGCCGCTCCAAGGGAACAGGCGGAGACCTCTGGGGGCCCACGCTGCGGAGCCACAAGTCACGACGTCGTGGGTATGGGCACGCGGCCGTCTAAGCAGGCGGGAGGACGCCTAAGAAGGCAGGGCGCTGCCCAAGAGCCCTCTCGGCATCTGTGGAGGCCAGCTAGGTGGGTTCCGAGCGAATGGGGTCGGAGGATCAAGCCGCATCGGCCACGCCGGCGGTGTATCGGCGACGCCGGCGCGGAGAAAATCGGCCTCCACAGCGAGCCGCATCGCCGAGGCATCGGCGATGCGGCGCGATTCCACCTCATCTGCTTCGACCCCATGTGGGAGGCCTAGACTCTACGTAAGGTGGACCTTGAAACAAAGGACACCACCCCGCCCACGGCCCCACGAGTCTTAGCGCATACCAGGAAATCTGGCGTGGATTTTTGCGTGGTATCCGCTACGGCGCCCCGATGGGCCGTAGCGCAACATGGAGGGCCGTAGGTGGGGTGGTGTCGTTCGCTTTTTGATCGATAAGAGGCCATCTCATTAGCACCCGGGCCCTTCTGAGAAGGCCCCTGCCCTCTGAAAATCCCCCCCGCCTTCGCAGAAGGCCACCCACCTCGTGCCGCCCCTTCGCGCGCGCCACCAGGCTGGGGTCGTACATGCCCGGGACGGGGAAGTAGCAGAAGCCCTGCATGTCCCCCCCGTCGAAGCACCCCGACTGGTGCCCGAAGAGCTCCTCGGGGCCCACGTCCCCGAAGCTCAGCTCGTCGTACCCGCCCGCCGGCTCCATGAGGCTCAACGGCGGCATGCTCCCGATGGGCTCGTGAGCGGACGGGTGCAGGAAGGGCGACGGCGTGTTCGGCACCACGACCCTCGCCTTCTGCGCGGCCTCGAGCTCGGCGAACTCCTCCGGTGACTGCGGGCCTTTGAGCTGCTGGGCCCTGTTCAACTCCGTGCCGTCGCTGCGCGCGCGGACCCGCTCGAAGCCAGCCTCGTCCGCCTGCCCGAACTCCACGAAGGAATTCTTCACCGTGTAGGACACCCTATCCGTGATACGGACCATCGGGCAAGATCGGGTGTGAGATGTCGCGGGGAACACTTAGGGGGGGGGCCCAGCTCAGGAGGGAAAAGATCGACCTGGAATCGGCGACACATCGCAGGCAGGTCGGCGATGGGCCCCGGGCAGCAAGTCCGCACCGTGCATGGGCGGGGTGGCCTTCTCTGTCGGCGATGACTGGGCGGTGGGGGTTCGATGCGAGCCCCCGTGAGCCTATCCGCCCTAATGTTGCCCCCGAGATGGCTCTCGGAAGGTACGATGAACAGGTTGCGACGGGGCGCGGAAACCCACCGGACTGGAGCCAAAAAGGCTGAGCGGAGGGGCGATGGGGGGAGGAACAGGGGCCATCCTACGAGACCTATGTTGCATCACAGCAGCAATTCGGCCCCTGGCTTTCGTCCTGGGTTCGGTCTAGTGAAGTGATGCATTTCGGGGTCATCACGTGGGACAAAAACATCACTTCACTAATCTGGGGCCCCTGGGGCCTCAGTGGGCCCTGGGGCCCAAAATCAGTGAAGCGATGGTTTTCGGGCCTCGGACATCCTGCTCCTCCCAGTCAAACTCTCGTAGTGCCCTCTGGTTCCTCTCCTCCTTTACCCCCGCCCTCCTCCTCGCCGCTTCACTCGGTGCCTCGCTGCGGGTGTCGTGTCTCGGTGGCGTCGGGGAGAGGAAAAGCCTCACGCCCCCTTCCCCGACACTCGCTGGAGCAGACAGCAGCAAGTACTCCAGATTTCGTGATAAAAGGGAAGGGGTCTGGACCCTCCAAGACAAGCCATTTCAGACCCCCCCCCCCCCGTGGGGGAACCTCCAAAACATCGTCCCCAGACCCCCCAGGCCCTCCAAGATAGCCTGGAAGAGACCCCCCCCCGAAATGAGACCCCCCTCCTTTTATTACGAAATCTGGAGTACTCGTCGGCAAAGGTCGGGCCCACGGCAGGAGCGCGCGAAAACCACACACGCACGCACGCCTCCATCGAGACTGCCTCTGGCGTGGGAGCCGCAGGAGCAGCAGGAGCTGAGCAGGACGGCGGACGGGGGGCACCAGAAGCAACATCTCGTAGGGCGAAGGATGATGACCCTCATCCACCTCCTCCTCCTCCTTCTCTTCCTCTAGTTCACCACCCAACAAGTTGGGGCCGTTAGATTTCAAGAACACCTCCCGACCCGTCCACCCTGCATTCCGCGGCCGCCAGAATTCCCAAATCTCCCGAGTGCCGCCGAGTGTCCCGCCTCGCGCCACTCTGCATACCACGGCCGCCAGATCCCCAGGTCTCCCGAGTGTCCCCGAGTGTCCCGCCTCGCGCCGACTCGCCCACTCTGCATACTGCGGCCGCCAGATCCCTAGGTCCCCCGAGTGTCCCACCTCGCGCCACTCTGCATTCCACGGCCGCCTGATCCCCAGGTCTCCCGAGTGTCCCCGAGTGCCCCGCCTCGCGCCGACAAATCTTAGAATGACAGACCGGTATTTGGAATGACAGAGCACAACACAACACTATATGAAATGACATAACGTAGCGTAACAACACATCACCTAACATAACATATCCGAGCACAACATACCATCTCATAACACAACACAGCATAGCGTGCCATACCTCACCATGGCAGAGCAGTGCATATCATAGCGCATCATCGTAGCACAGGGCAGTACGTCACATGACAAATCGCAGAACTGAACATACCAAAACATAACATGTCACAGCTTCACAGAGAATTGCATACCATATAATAACACAACACAGCATAGTAACGAATGGCATGGCAGGTGTGAGCAAACGCAACATAACAGAACAGAGCATAACATGAGATAACACGACAGAGCATAGCAGCATATGGCATGTCACGACAATACACACCACAACATAACTCAGCATGACAGCTCAGACAAATCTGACAGAACGGCAATGCAGAACAGATGGCACAGCATAACATGACAGAGCGCGACCTATGTTCCATCATAGCAGGCCATCGCGTAGCATGACAACATGAGATTTGGCACCATTGGTCATGCAGAACAAAGCATAGCACCACACACCATAACATACAAACCAGAGCATACCACAGCATGTCATGAGATAACAGGCCATAACCTAACACACCATGGCAGAACATATGGCAGCTTAGCAAAGCATCGAAGCACATAGCATTCCATCACATGACACTTCAAACCATGACAGAGCTCGGTAACACGCATTATAGCGTAGCATAACATACTTGAGCATGACACTAGAATACAACAACGCGTACTGGACACATCATAACAACGCATATAACGACACCCTGGAGCATACAGAGCGTAACATAATACCACACATCATAACAAAAAAGTGCAGCACACATCAGAACATAGCGTAACAGAACAGAGCATCAAAGTGTACACAATGACATGCCACATCATAGCATAACTCAGAAACGCAGCATTTAATAGCATAACAAAGCATTTCATCACAACATGATACAGTGTACTACGATCTAATCCAAAGCGACGTGCGCGCCGAGGTCAGGCTGGCCACAGGAGCGAACAGGCGCAGCAACGAACGATCGGACGACGTATCTATCGCGACAGGCGTCACGGCGTCGCGCTGGCCCATCGAGAACATAATAGCCATCATAGAGCACAACAGAATAGAACAAGATCAAATCAACGAAATTGTACAAATGGAGCAAACGGTAACCAGCAAACCATACCAGAATTGCTGTACTGCTGCTACCCCTACGTCAACGATTTAGATACAACATGATTTGCTGAAGCTTCATGTAATATACTATAACGAGCTGAACATACCCTCGACAACATCACCTACAACCACATAGCGGAACCTAGCCTGACAGCACATACATTTCATGTCAGTGCGTAGCCACAGAGCCGAACATATCAAATCATAACAGGCCATACAATGACAGAGGGGAAAGTACAAGCAGACCACACGCCAACAAAAGAGAACTTACAACTTGAAGAGCTCTTCATAACATAAGAGGCCGTACCATACCAGGATCAAACGCGACGTGCACGCCGAGGTCAGGCTGGCCACAGGTACAAACAGACGCAGCAACGACCGATCGGACGGCGTATCTAACGTGACAGGCGTCACGGCGTCACGCTGTCCCGTCGACAACACAACAAAGTATAGTGCAGCATAACATAATACAACTTTATCGTCACAAAAGAAAATCGAACACTGCTGTTAAATAAAGCAACGACAGATTAAGGGCGCACTGCCAAAATCAGCGTCCGCGCCTGGCCACAGAAAAAACAGGTGCAGCAACGAACGATCAGACGACATATCCACCGCGACAGACGTCACGACGTCTCGCCACCCCGTCGAAAGCAGAAAATTACCCTGCGACGCACCCAACCCACGCGCATCAAATGGCAAGAGGACTATGCCAACATTAGCAGGAACAACGACAGTGTAGACGCGGCGATTTGCTGTGCAAGCTACATGGGATGCGCATGCGTTGCACGATTCACAGGACGACGATCGAAAGAACGAGGGCTGAGGCCCCAGAATCGAAGAAGAACGGGCACGGGAACGAGGGGTAGGAGAGGGATGGAATGGAGGGCGGGGGGGGCGAAAGGCCATCGCGGAAGCAGCAGCGTGCATGGAGAAGGTGAGGCGGGGAATAGGACGACGATGAAAGTGGCGGGAGGAGACAGAAGACTGCCGCGTTTTTCAAGTGCGAGCTAAACCCGCAGCGCTGCCTGCGCCATGTCGTCGCAGAGTTCCACATGATAAAACTTGTTTAGAGTGCAAGGAACGAGCGAGGCGTAGCTCGCCCGCTAGCTTCTCCGCCTCCTTCCCGCACATTTCAGCGCGGGAGCTGAACGCTCGCAGGCGCGCCGCCAGGTCTGCGGGCGGCCCGCGGGAAAGAAACTCAAGGCCGGGGTCGCGCATCATCAATCGGTTGTCCATCGTCCAAAGTTGCACTGGCGACGTACTGGTTGAACGCGGAGCGAGCAGCATCACGCGCGTGCCTGAACGCCACGCAGGTACAGTGCACGCGCGATTGGGACTTCAGGTCGATCACGCGCGTCTCCACCAGGCTTGGCAACACCACGCGACTGAGGATCTCACTGCGGTCTGCCATGCTGCTGTCCGCGAATGCAATGCGCTGCCTGCAAGTAAGGCGGCGGCGTCCACTTGTCTCAGAAGATGTTCCCGCGGGCCCGAAGGGCGACCGCCAGCTCGAGCCGCGGCGCCGGCAGGCCAGATAAGGATCATGCAACAGCAAAGACGATGACAGAGCAACGAGGTATCGGCGAGTGCATGACAGGCCTCCGTTTCCTGCACTTCTTTCCTGTAGTTTCCCTAGCTCATCGAGCTCAGCAGATGTTTCTGCGGGTCCGAAGGACGACCGCCAGCTCGAGTCGCAGCGCCGACGAGCTGCATGCACATCAGGCAACACCCCAGGAGACTCTGGCACACAACGGTTTGACGTCAGTCAGTGCCAGACCACTCCATGTCTAGTTCCTCGCACACATACAGTCGATCGCAAATGCGGGATAATCGAAGTAGAATGACGGGTCCAATCTGCGTCCGCGTAGGACGTCACTATGCTGGACCCCGCAGCAGGTATCGAAAGTGGCGACAGTTTCGTGGGCCCCACAGCAGCCCTCGAAAGTGGCGACAGTTTCACAGATCGCAGCCCCCCAGGGATGGCGAGGTCTAATCTGAATCCCCGTAGGGCGTCACTCCGCTGGGCCCCCCAGCAGCCTCGAAAGTGGCGACAGTTTCACAGATCGCAGCCCCCCAGGAATGGCGAGGTCTAATCTGAATCCCCGTAGGGCGTCACTCCGCTGGGCCCCCCAGCAGCCTCGAAAGTGGCGACAGTTTCACAGATCGCAGCCCCCCAGGGATGGCGAGGTCTAATCTGAATCCCCGTAGGGCGTCACTCCGCTGGGCCCCCCAGCAGCCTCGAAAGTGGCGACAGTTTCACAGATCGCAGCCCCCCAGGGATGGCGAGGTCTAATCTGAATCCCCGTAGGGCGTCACTCCGCTGGGCCCCCCAGCAGCCTCG